AATCCGTGAGAAGGAAGCCAGGTCACACGTCTACGTCGAAGCACTGCTGGTCTTGATCAGACCTGGGTGCTGTGCACTTCCCCCTCTTTGGGCATTCTGCTCTGTCCCGTTCGAGTGTCTCGCACAGCGCTGCCGCGCGAGGCCGCCCTGCAGGCGCCACCGCGGGCGGCACCGCCAAGGGGGCCTCGGCAGGCGCCCCCGGCCCTCACCGCCCACCGAAGCACCCCAACCCGACCCGAAGGCCCCGAGCTGCCCTCCATGTCCGGGAGGGGGGGCGGGGCGTGGGGGGGGAGGTCGGGACCCTTCGGAAAAGAAGCACCACCTCCGAAGCCCGCACCTCCCCCCCACTACCCCCCCCCCGACACCCGGAATCCGGGTCTTCGGGTTGGGGGTTGGGGTGGTGTCTGGTCGGCAGTCGTCCAGAGGGGGGGAGGGCGGGGCGGGGGGGGGGGAGGGGGGGGGCAATCCGCCTCGGGGCGGCCGCGCGCAGAGCCGGAAGCGCAGCGACGTGCTGCCCTTCTGAGCGGCCTGGTCCCGGGCGCCCGTGCCCTGCGGTGGAGAGAGAGAGCACACGGCTTGTGGCCGCCTCGGCATGCAGGGCCCCTGCTCCCGAGGGGAGCGCCGCGGCGGGGGCTTTTATCCAGGAGCACCGCCTGGGTTAATCGATCTTCGCGGGCCTCCACAGGCGGTGGATATCCGTCCAGACAGGTCGACCGAGGTAGTCTGCACGGGGTCGCTCGACGTGGCGGACGAGTGTGCCAGGTCAGTTTCAGGTCGGATTCGCCAGTGCACGTGCGTTTCGCTGGATACAGTCAACCCGCATAGTAAGGATGGGCAACCTTCCCGAGGGTACCCTTGCATCCCCGCCTCCTCGGTCCATCCTTGGCCACTGTCGTTGGCCGCGACCCGCTCGAGAAGCTTCGAAATGAGCGTCCAAGGCCCTTGCGTCCTTGTCGCGCATCCTTTTGATACGGGCCGACTGTACGAGTGGGCCGGTTCAGTTCCAGGTCGGAGTCGCCAGTGGACGTGCGTCTCGCTGGATGCATTCGGACATTTTCGACGTCGCTTAGTGTTTCCGCCTGGGTGCACGCGGAATTCGGTGCCGCGCGTCCCCCTGGAGTGCCCCAGCAGCTTTCGTTGCAGTGCGTTTTGCGACAGGGGTTTCGGCCAATCCTCGAAAGGGACGCCAGTGCCAGCGCCCGCATGGTGGCACCTCCCCATTTCGGCACATTCCTCACCCGTTGTTTGGCCCCACGGGGACTTCCCCCTCCTTTGTCCCACCTGCCTTGCGGTACTCACGCCTGCAAATGGTTGGGTCTGTCGCCAGGATATCTGCTATTGTGGTGGTCTCCTGGTGCCGTTTTCGAGCCCCGGGTCCGTCAGTAGCGTATCCAGGATGAAACAGTAATTGGCCCCAGGAGTTGTTTAGGGAGCGATTTTGAGCGGATTTGGTTTCATCCTGCCTCCTGGTTGTCTTCTTGGGGCCCCAGCCAGTTCAGAACCCCCGGCTGCCTCCACATTCAAAGCAACCTCGACAAAGCAGAGCCGGGCAGAGCAACGAACGCCGAAACACGCGACAGTTTGTCCCATGATCATTCAGCTGGGATTTTGGCGCGTTGCAGCAGTATGCTTGCATCTAGCTTTCGCGCATCGCTTGTATACAGCTCGTCTTAAATCAGGAGCAACGTACTCGTTGATGAGGGGCGCGTGATGCCCATTCAAAACATGCTGTCTCGATGTGGTCATCTGCCCGTCTTCGTGGCCCATCCGTGGATAGCCTGCTGCTGGGCAACGCATGGTGAGGGGGGAGGACGAGGAGGAGGGGAAGGTGGAAGTGCAAGAGAGACAGAGGTTTTGACATGTTCATATAGAGGGAAATCCGTTTCGAGGCGATGAGGCGTGCTTTTCAGGCGAACGCGGGGGAGGACACGCTCTTCGTCTTGCTGCGGCCCCCTCAGGGAGTGCCTGGAAGGTGGAATTCGCAGGTTATTATCTTGAGGATGGGGGAGGTCTCGCTGATACGCACGCGGAGGAATACATCCTCCCGCGGGCCGCGCTTGGATATCTTCGAGGGTGAGCGGGCGTCTTCTAGAGCGCGCCTGGGCCCCGATATGCCTAGAGACTACACATCGACACATTCAATGATGGTCGTGAGGCGTAATGGCGGGATACTGTAGTGATGATGTGCGTTTCTGCCGCGATGTGATTCGCGGATAGGTTGATGACGGGACGAGGCGACGATAGTTTGAAGCCGTGCGACGCACCTCTATAAACGTATCGTGTTGTGTCTCAGCAAATGGTCCGCCGCTTGCTCACTGATGGTCCTGGTGGTTGATAGTCCTGATCGTAAACAGGTGGTCCAGAGTCTCAGTCGTTCCGGTTCTCCCGTCCAGAAGTTGGCCAGAGATGGCCAGACTGACCAGTGGTCGCAGTGGCCATTAGTCGTTGTGCCTAGGCTGTTGAATCAAGAGTGTCTGAACTGGGCGATTCTGGGTGGTGTGCTGTCCCCATCGTGGAGCGATATCCTAATCAGTGATGTCGAGGCCACAGGACGGTGACGTGAAAACTAAGTGAAGATTTGGCAGGTGGGCCCAGCACGGGACTAAGGTGTGATAGTATCGTTACCATGTGTTGATAAGTTGTTCCATCTACAATTTGTTCGTTGTGTTTTCAGTTGTACGTACCCAGCAGGTCAGGATAATATTGTATTATGCCCAGACGTTTGATAACACGGCGTAGCCATGTTGGTTCAGGCTACGAGGTGTAAATACCCGGATGCACACGGCGTGGATCGATGTTTGTTGACATCCCGATGTTCCAATCACATTGTTCTTCTTTGCTATCCCGTAGCGAGGCTTGTGAAGGAACTTTGACACAGTTAGGAATCCATCATGTCAGTGCAAACCGCAGCTCGCTTACACGGCAGCTGCATTCTCATGGGGCAGGTTATGCGGCAGTCACGTCGCGAGGAGCGCCAGGTTCGGGCAAGCATCCACCAAGGCGGCAAGATCAAGTTCTAAAGTTTTTGAAATTATCCGCGTTGTTATTCCTCCGTGCGATGAGTCCATCCGTCGGATCGTTCTTGCACGTCCCAACGACAACACCGGGCCGCAGTGTGATTGGCTTGGGCCGCATGCCGGCAGAGCGCTCAAGTGTCTCCACGGAGCGCAAAGACCATGCCGCCTCCAGAGCACGCATCACGGACGACAGAGGAGGCGAATTACTTCCAATATTGCATCATTCGCGACGGTCTGCATTATATGGAGCTGGTATTGTTGGCGCTTCGTGGCATGGAGAAGTCGCCACAGCAGCCGTTGGGGTCACAAGGACGATCGGCGAACCCGTGGTTGCAGGTGGACACTTGCCTTTAGTTGTCGGACTTGGCATGGGCCCACCGTACCCGCAGCGCTACGCTGAACTTGCAATTGATGCCGGATACAGGCTTTTCGACACAGCACAAGAGTATGGCAGCGAGGAAGGCCTTGGGAATGCTTTGAAGGCCGCATTCGCATCAGGAAAGTTGAGGAGGCAAGACGTGTTTGTGACGACCAAGGTTTGGGTTGATAACATGGGTTATGACCGAACCATTAAGTCTGTCCGTGAGTCGCTTGACAGCCTTGGTGGACTCGATGGAGGAATTGATTGGGTGGGGCGGAGACGTTACAAACTCGCGGATGTGATCGAACTGCCCCCTCCCCCCCTCCTCGATTAACCTCAATTAACCTCAATTAACCTCACTGGTGCCTTCTTCATTAATGCGCCCGTGCCTCTCCTTCCATGATGTTGTGGGTTCCACCGCGCCCGGCCACGCCACTGCATTGTTTCCAACTGAGTTAGGGGGCCTTGGGCACGCCATTGCGTTGTTTTGCATAGCCTTCGTTGGTGCAGACCGTTCTTCGACCGTTTTCCGCATCCGACACTCTTCTCCTCCTCCTCCTCTTGCTCCTCCTGCTCCTCCTCCTCCCGTTTCTTTCCCGTCTCCTGCTCCTTCTGCTGCCTCTGCGCCTACTCCTCCTGCTCCTTTTCCTGCTCCTTCTCCTGCTCCTTTTCCTGCTCCTTGTCCTGCTCCTGCTCCTGCTGTCGCTCCTGTCCTCCCCCTCCTCTGCGCCTATTCCTCCTGCTGCTTCTCCTGCTCCGTCTCCTGCTCCTTCTCCTGCGCCTGCTCCTGCTCTCGCTCCTGTCCTCCTCCTGCCGCTCGTCCCCCTCCTCCTCCTCGCCGCCTTGCTGCCGCGGGCTCGTGGCCCGTCGGGGCCCGCTCGGCCCTCGCGGCCGCTTCGCGATGGACAGCCCCGACGCGCGCGCCTTGGAGGCGCTCGCCTCGGACGGGCACGGCGCCGCGCTGGACGCGGCCGTGCGCGATGTCGGTGCGCCACCTCCTCCTCGCCCCCTCTCCCTCGCGTCTCTGCCCGCCCCTCCCCGGCAGGCTTCGCTGGCGACGCGCTGTGCCACATCGGCCGCCTGGCCGGCCGCCGGGGCGGCAACCTGTCCGCGGCACGGCGCGGGCAGCGCCTGCGGGCCCAGGTGCGCGGCCTCGAGGCGGAGGTTGCCCGTTCGGATCATTTAAGGCCCGTCGCAAAAAAAGTTCGCGCCCTCCGATGCCAGATGCGTGGCCTGCGCCGGGGCGCGCGTTTGTTGTTCCCCAGCGCCACAGGTCACGAATCTGGGATCAGTGGGAACGTTTTTTTTTTGCCTCGCGCAGGGCAGCTTGGAACAAGATGCGACTTCGGAGGGGGGATTTCGTCAGCAAGGTGACGACCGCATGCGATGAAAGGGGTCGCGGCGTTGGATTGGGGGCGGCGGAGGCAGGGCGATAGGCGATAGGATCAGGCGGGGCGCGTGGGAGAGGGGAATGATGCTGTGATACGCCCCCCCTCCCGCTGCCCCCCCGGCCCTTGTCCTCGCCCGGTTGCCTTGGGGTCTCTCCTGCAACATGTCCATTTCCTTCCGTAATCCTTACGCACTCATGCCTCTTCAGTTCTCTTTTATCTAAGAGTCGTCGTCTTTCCAGTGCCAGTTTCGCGCGGCGGCTGGCTGGCGGGGGGGCAGGCGGGGCGGGCCGGGGCCGCGGCGGGCGGGGGGGGGCGCGGGGGGCGGCGGCCCGGGGTGCCGGCTCCGGGCGGGCGAGGCGCGGGCGCGCTCACGCGGGGGCGCCGCGCGGCAGGGGGGCGGCGACGCGGCAGGGCGGCGCGGCGAGGGTCGCCGGCGGCGCCGGGGGTCGCGCGGGCGGGCCCCGCCCTTCCCCCCCCCCCCGCACCCCCTCCCCCCGCGAGGGGGCCCCCGACGTCCGAGTCCACGCCCCGGCGAAGACCCAGCAAACATTTAACAAGTCAACCTCCTGCTCCTCGTGTTCCTCGTCCTCCTCCTCATCCTCCTGTCACTCCTCACCCCCCCTCTCCTCCCCTTCCCCCCTCTCCGACCTCCATCCAGCTCGTTCTTCTCCATCTCCTGCAGCTCTTCCTCCTCCGCCCTCCTTTTTTTGGGGGGGTTTTCAGCCATGGGTGATCAAGACGGCTACGAAACGTGCTCGGGGGCAGGCGCCCACGTTGTACCACAAGAATCAATGGAGCACAATGGGGTTGATGAGGCATGCCTTCAGATCGGTCGGGGCCGTCCACACCGAAACGAAGGGCCTCGATGGTGCTCGAAGCCTCAGAGCCGTCTGCGGGGTTGCTGGCGCCATCGCCGATATGCAGGCGCAGCGTGTTGCAGCGTACCTTGGCCAGTTCGGACACCTCGACGCGCTCGTCATAGCAAAGCACTACGATGCCACTCCGCTCCGCCTGAGCGTTCATGATCCTGTGTTGCGTGAACGCCTCATGCCATTGGCCCGCTATGCGGTGCGATCTGAGTCTAACAGGTGGACCCTCGTTGACTACGAGACGTTTCGGAAGGTATGTCCGAAACACAAGATCAAATTTGGCATTGTGGAGTGCTTTGCCCAGAGCGTCGACGTATTCTCGGTGAACCGTGACGGCCACATCGGCTTTAGACATGTGATCTGCCCGCCGTGCGTGTTGGCTCATGCCGACGCGTCGTGCACGCATGCCGCGACGGAGTTGGTCCCGTCGTTGGACCTCGAGGGGTTGCACTCGCTTTCGGCTCGAGTGGCGTACCTTTTCCTGAATGACAACCCAGACAACGCGCGGTCGAACCTCAGGAAGAAGCGGTTCGCTTCCGCCGCATTGCGGCCTCTTCGGAACGTATTCGTCAACAACACGGGTTGCGAGGGGGGGGGGGGGGGGGGGGGGGGGATGTCACCTCCCCGCGCCCCCTTACCTCCAGCGTCTTTCGTAGCCTGGTTCTGCAGCCCACGTTCCCCCCCCCCCTCACCCCCCGCCCCCTGCCTCTCCAGCCTCCCGCCCTGCCGCCCCGCCCGAGGTTGCTTGGCCCACTCGTTGCATCGTGTCATGACCACGTCGATCCCCGAGAGCGACGTGGTGGGCGACCTCCACGCGCTGGTGGTGACCTGCGCACGCGCCCACCGTCAGGCGACAAGGAGGAGGGGGATCCGTGGCAGGACGCGGCTGACCATGGAGGCGGGGGAGGGAGGTCGAGCGGTGGAGGAGCGAGGGAGAGGAGGAGGAAGAATGCGCGAGCAGCAGCCGCCAGAGGCGAGCTTGCAGGCGGCCCTCCAGCTGCTGTGCTCGAAGGCGGTCGTCTCGCCACTGCCGCCGCCCAGGGGCGCCGCGGCGCGCAACCGCGCCTTGGCGGAGCGCTTCAGGCTCGTTGCCTCGAAGCCTTCGGACATCGGGGATGAGGTCACCGTAACTTCGTTGGCGAGGGCGGTTCGTGCTCCACCTCCATCGCCTCCTCCTCCGCTTTCTCCTCCTCATCCTTTCCCATGCCCCTCCTCCTCCACCTCCTCCTCCTCCCCCTCCTCCTCCTCCTCCCCCCCCCTCCTGCTCCGCCTTCTCATCCGCGCCCTCCAAGAGTCCCGACGTCCCGAGGGGCCCGCGGGACTCCTCTTCTCAGGCTCTGCCTAGACGGGTTCTTACTCGCTTGGCCTGAAGGTGCCGGGCATTGCACGTCGCCCTGGGCGGTTCCCCCAGTCCCCTGGGGGCCAAGCGAAAGCAACAGCAAAGGTAAAAGCAACCGCGCGGTTCCCCCCTGTTGCGCCCCCTGGGCGCCAAGCGAAAGCACGCGCGAAGGCGACCGCGAAGGCAAACGCGGAGGCGCATCATAGCATAGCATAGCGCAGCATAGCTCGGGACACCTCGAGAGGCCCCTCGGGGCAGCTCCGGCGAGAGGTCCATTTTGGAGAGCGAGCTGCCCTCCCTCCACCTCCGCGCCTGCTCTGGTAGCCCCCCCAGCCTTCAGGACGGGCGCCGAGCAAACGCAAATGCAAAATGCAAACGCGAAGGCAAACGCGAAGGCAGGACGTTGGCATATGATCGCATGGCATAGCGCAGCATAGCTCGGGACACCGCACGCGGCCCTCCAGGGGCGCTCCGGCGAGAGTTCCTCTTCGAAGGGCGAGTCGCCCTCCTTCCACTCTCCCTGCCTGCTTTGGAATCCCTCCCCCAGCCTCCAGGAGGCCCCGGGCCCCGCCTCGCACGGCGCCCCCCTCTCGGGACATGTCAGGAGGCCTTCCAGGGGCGCCCCGTCGAGAGTTCATTTTGAAGACGACCCATTTTGGGTCAATCTTAGAGCCATCTTGACTGGAATGGATTTCGTTTTTGTGGCCGCATTTTTTCTTGATTGGATTCCAACCATTGGTCATTAACCCTAAGCCTACCAGAAGGCTCCAAGAGGGGCCCCCCGCAGCCCCATCTGCTGTCAAGCTTGCGGTCCTCGTCTTTGACAGCAGGCGAGGCTCCTCGTGCGGCGTCAATGCCCCCCCCCCCCGGGTGCCATTCGGGAGTTCCCCCCATGCCTGTCTTGGCTTATTCTAATTCCAAGAGGGCTCCTGAGACCCCCGAGAGATCCCCAGAAAGGCCCCAGGCGGGGTTCCATATGGGCCCCTCCTGCTGTCAAGCTGGCGGCCTTCGTCCTTGACAGCCGGAGGTGCTTTTCTTGGGGCCTTCCTGGGCCCCTTTCGCTGCCGCTCGAGAGCCCTCCCAATCTGTCCTGGGCCCCCTCCTGGGGCTCCGAGAGTGGGCCCAGAAGGCTCCAAGAGGGGCCCCGAGCGGGCCCCCTACTGTCGAAGCTGTCGGCCCTCGCCGTTGACAGCACGGGGCTCCTCTTGGGGCCCCCGTGGCCCGTTACCCCCCCCCATCCCCCCTCCTGCCCCCCCCCCCCCCCTCCCATGCGCATCCCAGACCCCCCCCCCAACCTATGCCCTGCTTAGAAGGGTTCTTACTCGCTCGGTTTACAAGAGCCGGACAGCGAGTGAAAAGCAAAATCGAAAGTAAGGGCAACCGCATGCGCGCGTTCACCCCCAGCTCGCCCTCGCTTTAGTTTTAGCTTTAGCGTTAGTTGTAGCTTTAGCTTTTGCTTCAGGCAGGGCTTTAGTTTTCGTTTTAGTTTTAGCTGTAGCTTTATCTTCAGCTGTACGTTTTGCTTTAGCTTTAGCTTTAGATTTAGTGTTAGCTTTAGCTTTAGCTTTAGCTTTAGCTTGCGCTGAGCTACAGCTTAGTTTTAGCTTGGCTAACTTTCGCTTTGCGTTAGCTTTGTTTGACCTTAGTTTTAGCTTTATATTTGGCTTATATATCGCTCAGTTTTAACTTAGCTTTAGCTCAACTTTGGCTTAGCTTTTGCTTAGCTTTAGCTCAGCTTTAACATAGCTTTATCGTGGCTTTACCGTTGTTACCAATGCTGCTTTCCTGGAGGCTTCTCCTCCTAGGTAGCGTCGCACTGGGATAGTTTCGATAAAGAGTTGATTGGCTTGGTCCTCCTCCTGCGCCCCTCGCCTTCCCCCAGTTCACCGATGCGACGTGGAACTACTTCGTGTCGTTTCCAGTGTTGCTGCGACTTGGGGGCAACCCGTGCACTTTTCATGCCTTCTGGCCTGCGTGTCCCTCCGCCCCTCCCCCTCTCCCTCCCCCCAGTCTGGGATATTCGCGACGATCCGGACGCAATGCGTTTTAACGCATGCGAAGCACATCCCGTCAGTCGTGCCGCGATTTCGGCGCGAAACAACACAGGAGTTGTTTGGCGTGGAGGGCCCCGAGTGCGCCTGGATGGGCCTCCGTCTGCTTGGCGGCCTCGCTCCTCCTCCTCCTCCTCCTTAGAGGCGAGGAGGAGGAGGAGCAGGAAGAAGAATAGGGGGGGCGAGGAGGAGCAGGAAGAGCGGTACTTCATGCCCCTCCTCCTGCCCCTTCTCTTTCCCCTCCTCCTCCCTTTCCTCCACCTCCTCCTCTTTTTGTCTCTCCCTCCTCCTCCTCTGCCCTCCGCCCCCCCCCCCCCTCCTCCTCCTCCTCCTCCTCCTCCCCCTCCCGCTCCTCCTCCCCCCCTCCTGCTCCTCCTATCTCCTCGATCCTCAGCCTCTTCTCCACCGCCTTTCATGCGCCCCTGCCCTCCCTCCTCCTCCTTTCCCTCGTGGCCCTTCTCATTCCCCGCCACCTGCCCCTCCACCCCCTCCTCGCCCCCCCCCATCCTCCCCCATCGGTGGCGTTTCTGTTATTGTTGGCCCCGAGGTCTCCCCAGACAGACGTGCTGCACTTGACCGATTACTGTTTTTCCTCAATGGCAATTGGTCTGCAGAGACTCTGACGCACCACTGCGTCCCCGGGGAGTGTTCGTGTACGGGGCCACCAGATGCCAGAGCCAAGCTATTCGCAGTACTGTTGGAGGCCGGCGCCGTCCTTGGTAGTGATGTCAATCCACCGTCGACCAACCGATGGGGTTCGGCGACTCTGGCAGCCGGGCGCATCGCCCTTTTTTGTCTCTGCCACAACGTCCTTCCGCAATGCATGCTGCTCGCCTCGAAGGATTTGCGCAAAGAATATGCCCCATCGAACGACGACAACATAGCGCGTGCAGTTGCTAGGTCGAAGGCCTGGCGGTCGAAGAAAGTTTGCGACACTCCAGACCGACTGCGGTACTTGATAGTCGCCGCCTTTGTTTCGATCCCAGTCGATTCGCTGATGTCATCCTTGCAATATCTTGATTTTGCTGGCAATTCCTTGATGGATTGCGTCGCCACCGTCGACAGCCCGGTGCAGGTTTGCCAGCAGCGATTGAGTTGCATGGCGTCCGACCCCCTCTGTGAGGCATCGGACATTGCGCCTTTAGCATCACGGTTCCTCGACGATGCTTTGCTGCAGCGCCGATTGTTCAGCATGTCGTTGGGTGCAGCTGCCCAGACCTGGTGGCGGTTTCATTGCATCGAGCAGTTCCCGCTGGCGCTTGCAGCGGTGGGGCACCCTGCTGCGTCGGCTTCTGATCGTCTCAACGCCTGCAGCAGGCTCTACTCGGAGTCGGTCTGCTGCCTGGATGCGGACTTCTCTGCCAAGGTGCGCAACCTCTTTACCGACGCGTCCGAGATGGCAGCCGACGACGAGTTTCGACGGGCTGTTCGACTCTGGGCATCCAAAACCAAGCTCACTAATATGCACATGGAACGCGCCCTTGCCGCCGTGAAGGTCAGGCTCGGCATGCGTGGCCGCGGGGCCGCTGCTACCCCCAGCGTCGAGCGGTTCGTCGGCGTCGGCTTCTTGGGGGAGTTGCTGGACTGCCATCTCCGCGCTGGCGGGGAGGACCCGCGCTTCACGACGCGGGCCCAGTTGATCAAGGATGGGCTTCAGGTGGACGCCGCCCAGCCCAAAGCCGCATCTAAACCCCCTGGCGGTTTTCTTCGTCATTTCAGCTTGTGCCGCGCAGCCGCCAAGCGCCGCCTCGGCGTGACGCGCCTGACGAAAGCCCAGACGGACCAGGCGCGCCAGGGTGACCGGACAAATCAACTCACCCTCCTATCCTCTTTCGGCACCCTTCCCGGACCCCCCCCCCCCCCCGCAGCCAGCGCCGGATCAGGATGACGAGGAGGCACGGGGAGCGCGGGAGCTGCGGAGGAGGAGGAGGAGGTGAATGTCATAGAGAGGAGGCGGGGGAGGATGGTGCTGAGGAGGGTGAGGAGGAGAGTTGGAAAGCGATATTTTTTCTGCAGGTGCTCGTCGACGCCCGTGCCTCCTGGTACGACATGTCCGACGATGCCAAGGCTGACCTTTTCGAGGATGGACATGCTCTTTGGGCCCAGAGGAGGGCCCGCGACGAGGAGCTCGCGGAGGTGCAGCGGACTGCTGATGATGTCGCTGAAGAACGGATTCGTGATGCTTTTTGGGGATTGAGCAGTGTTCGGTGCCCTGTTTCTGAGTCTACATTCGAGGCTTTCATGCGGGAATCTTGCGGCCGGACCCCAGAGGAGAAAGCGCCTGGTCACCGTGCCTTCTGCACGTCGTGGAAATCTAAGATGATGTGTACTGCCTTGGTTGAGTCAACGTGTATCCCGCCGCGTTTGGTGATTGAGGCTGATACGCCGTGCTGGAAGGCGCATCCTGGCGTTTGTAGAAGTCGAGAAGCGTGGTGTTGGGCTGAGCTTTCAGATGTCACGAAACGGTTGCAGGCCTTGTTTCCGAAACACTGCCAGGGTGAAGTGTACCGCATCCGGTCTCGTCGCAGAGATGGAGTCGCTCGTTCGATTACGGTGGCCGTCTGTCATGTTCGTCTCGCTGACCCCCCTCTGGTCTTGTTTGCGAAGTGCAAGGTCCATGCCAACGATGACCGCGAGTTGCAGAGGGTTGAGGTCCTTCGCAGAGAAGACGGCAGGCTGTGGTGCGTATCGGCGGGGATGGTCGTGCGTGGATTCTTGGTTGGTGGAGATCTGATCGACGTATTGCCTCGGGTTACCGACCTTCACGTACGGTCCCTTGACATCACGTTCGCAGCAGGCATGCCCGTCGTTGGCGTGGAGGGGCCGTGGCGCGACGTCCTCGCAGCGTCAGCCCGCGATGATGATAGCCACTTGTCCGAGCAGATGCGCGCCTGGAAGAAGGTCATGGAGTCTGGCCTGTCAGCTCTGGGACCTTCTAAGGCAAAGAAGCCGCGTCCCAGTGGTTTCGTTGATGGAGATGGTTACGGCGACGGCGACTCGATGGGCGACGACTCCGACGACTCGAACGTCGACAGGTCTGCACTGTACACGTGGACATGTGCTTCAGCTCTGCTGCCGGAGGTTCACTGGGTCGCTTTTTAACGACGTCGTTGCCGCGCCCCGCCAAAGTTGGACAAACGCTCAGGTTTTACAGCGGCCTGTTTGTTTTTGAATGTTGGGGTTCTGGTCCCAGGGCGGCCGCCGGGACGCTGGCGGAGGAGGAGGATGCGGAGGGATGATGATGAGAAGGAGGAGGAGGAGGAGGAGGCGGAGGAGGAGGAGGAGGAGGAGGAGGAGGAGGAGGAGGATGAGGGGGAGGATGCGCCCGGCCGCGAGGTTGGCGCTGCGCGCGGCGCCGACGCTGGCGCTGGCAGCCCCAGCGCGGCAGCCGCAGCGCCGCCGCCGCCGCCCGCCCCGGCCGCGGCAGCCCCCGCCAGACGGGGCCGGGCCAAGCGCGGGATCCAGTGGGGGCCGTGGACGATCGCAGAGATCGTCGACAGAGAAGGGGGTCGCGGGCTCATCGGGTGGGGCGCCGTTTGCGGATGCCACCGCAATGCAGGTGATGGCCCTGCTGCCCAGGGCTGTCAGAAGCAAGTGCACATGGGCACCGCGGCTGCAACCGCGATATCAGCGGACGAAGCCCGTCGGCTCATCAAGTGCTGGCTAATCATGGGCCTTGAGATCCCCAGAGATGCCGCCGACGGTCGCCAGCGGCACGTGCACGATATAGGCAGACATATCCGACGGTTGGCCCCCCCCGATTGGACAGAGGCCGTCCTCGATGCGAAGTTGCCGCCGCGAGCGCGCAGGCATCCGATGATGAGGGGGGGGGGGGCGGGGAGACGGACAGGGGTGGGCCTGGGGTCGGGGGGGTGGGTCAGGCCTGATGGTGACATTGGGTTTTGTTAGCGCAGCGTTTCAGCGTCTTGGATCCCCGGGGGCCTCCCTCGGGCGGCCGCCAACCCCCACCTCCTCCTCCTCCTCTTCCTCCTCCTCCTCCCCCTCCTCCCTCTTCGGCCCCCTCCTCCTCCTACCCCATCCACTCTCCACTCCTCCTGCTCTCGTCCCCGTTCCAGGCTTCGTCCTTGCGCCCTTGCATCCTCGCCGTGCACGTTGCATGTCTGCGGTCTCGTGTCCTTTCGGCGAAGTGTTTTGCAGTCGCGGGGCGCGGGGGCACTGGAACGACTTAGCAGAAACCGTTTGGAGGCCGGGATCGGACTAACGCAGTATAAGCTGTCGCGGGTGCCGTCAAGCTGCACCCCGGTAATTGTTGCGGTGCGCATTCTTCCGCAGTTTCGCAGATGTGACCCTTGCTCGGCCTCCGGTGCGTGCGCCCTTCTCACGACCGCGCACGGGCCACTTTTCAGAGTCCACCTTGCGAGTTGCTGTCGCACATCCATCACTATCGCCGAATCGCCGCCGTCGTTCCCCCTCCCACTCTTACCTTTACTACCTCATATAATTACCCAATATCCACGGCATCGTGAGAGACATCCTTCGCAATCGATGGTGCACACGCGTTGGTTTGGCTGGCCGATTGATTGGTGCCACGTGCCCCCCCCCCCCTCGCCGATCCCATGACATCGCGCCACGTATTGGACCACGGTCGCATCGTCTAGTGGCCTGTCAAGGCTGGGCAAGGATGATGAGACACTCCCCGTCGTAGTTATTGGGCCATTGCTGGATTCGCGCTCGGTTGATCATGTCGTGTTTTTTTTGCAGATGGCCGCAGGCTGCTCGTTGGTCCTGGGAGAGCGGACGCGTCTTGTGGTCTGGCCGACGCTACTCGAATAGGTTACTCTGTTGCACCCCGTGCGTTGTGTTCTTATGCCGTAGCCACTGTCATTGCTCGACCGCCCTACAGCTCTTACTTTCCCATCGTCGACCAGACGCGGCGCCTGCCGATGGGGAAGCGCGGCGCCAAGACAGAACCCTTGGGCGCCGCGTCTGCCCCCGCGAAGCGCGGGAGGAAGGCATCTTCCCCCGATGCGGCCGCGGCCAAGGCGAAGGCGCCCCGCTCTCGCAGACCGCCGGCACTCCATATGGCCGACCTCGCGGCCACCCCTGCAGCAGCGCTGCCGGCCGCAGCTGACGCCCCAACCGACGCAGCACCAGCCGAGGGGCCCGTTGCCGCCAGCACCGCAGCGCCCGCACCAGCAGTGGCGCGCAAGGTCACTGGACAGAGCAAGCGTGCGCCTCTGCCACCCATGAGGCAAGTGACGCTGCGAGATCTGCCAGCAGCTCGATTCACCCCCTTCACGACCGTGGCGACGCAGCCTGCAGTTCGGTCGGCCGATCTGTCTGTCGGCATTTCGGATGACGATTCTGAGATGCCCGGCGCGCCGCAGGGCGCTGCTCCAGCCACGCCGAAGCCGCCCGCCGCTGGAGTCGACGACGACGCAGCCACTGTCCCAGGCTCGCCACGAGCCGTGGCCGCATCCCCGCGCGCGCCCGCAGATCCGTCCAATGTGGATCTTGATCTGCCGCGCGCGCCCACAGACCCGTCCAAGGTGGATCTCGAAGGCGACCTCGCCCGCATCCTAGATGCAGCACAGGTGCGCGGAGAGGTGCCTCCAGGCGATGCTGATGATCTTGGCGCAGCTGCTGACACTGGCGCGCCCGCGCCACCTGTTGTGGCATCGGGCGTCGAGCCGCCTGTCACTGGCAGCCGCGCATCAGCCGCAGGCTTTGTCGCGGCCGCCGCATCAGCCATCGATGCCGAGTCCGAGTTCGGTGCCGGGGCCAGCGTGCCGGCCGACGTTCGCGCGGCCCTCGCGTCACAGGGCCGCACAGACCCCATGATCGCAGAGCAGTGGCAGTTCGACTCGCGCGTGTTCGGTGTTGCGACTGCCCGTGAGCTCGCTGGCGTCGGAGCGGCGCACCGTTCGCCGAGCGCCCCTGCAGTTCGCCCGCGGCCTGAGCGCCCTGCCGTTGCGCTGCCTGACGCGGCATCCGTCCAGCCGATGGCCGCGGCCCTTGGCGCGTGGCCAGTCGCGGCGGCCGACCCGCCACATGCCTCCGTCAGCGCTAGCGCCTCCGAGCAGCATGCTGAACCGCCGGGTGCCCAGCCTGCCCGCGATGCCCATGGGTGCGCTGACGGCGACGCGACGCCGATCGAGCCACAGGCCGCAGCAGCTGACCTGGAGCCTGCGTCGGCCGTCAGCCCGTCGACCGCCGCGTCAGCAGACTTGCAATTTGCAGCTGCAGACGTTGGCGCCTCCGACCGGCCCGCGGCGACGCTCGGGGCGCAGTCCGCCCATGCCGACGCATCGCTGCCAGTCGCCTCGGACCCCGTGAGTTCGCCACCTGCGCCGCCAGCGGTCGCTTCGGAGCCCGTCAGCTCACCGCCAGCCACGGCCGCTGATGCGCGGCCTGCGCCGGGCGTCGGCGAGCCGTCTCCCGCCGCAGCGGCCCCTCCGCCCGCGGCGCCGCCGGCGGCAGATGTCGCGGCGGTGGCGACGCCCCTGCGCCCTCGCCGCACTGATTCAGCTGAGTGCGAGTTCCTCGGCGATGCCCTTGGGTGCGTGCCCGCCGATGTCCGCGACGCCCTTGCGGCGCAGGGTCGGTCAGACGCGGCCATCGTGGAGGAGTGGCCATTCGACCAGGCCGCGTTCGGCACGGAGGCCGCACGTGAGCTCTCGGGCGCCCCCGTGGCGGCCTCCGTCGACGTGGAGCTCAGCCGCGCGACCCTCCCGGCGCTGGACTTGGACCTCCCAGACCTGGGCCACGAGGACGACGACGACCTCCAGCAGCTCGAGAGCGCAGGCGCGCTCCACATGCACGGCGCAGACGCCAGCTCTATGATGATCCAGGACCCACTCGGGATAATGACCCCCCCCCCCCCGCCTTCATGCGCCCACGCGGTAGACGATGCGGAGGAGGCGGAGGAGGGGGAGGAGGTGGAGGAGGGCGAGGAGGAGGAGGGCGAGGAGGCTGAGGACGTACAGCCGTGGCGGGGGCGTACCACACTATGGTGTGGTACGTTATTTTCCCCGGTGTCCTTGTTTGTTGGGGGTTCTTGCTGTGAGGCTGTGCTCCAGGACTAGGGCCTTGCCACGGGCGCGATCGCGCGCCCAGCAGCTCGGGGGAGCAACCGGGGACGCGGATGAGGAGGAGGCGGTGTATTTACTGAGGGCGAGCAAGGGGGACGAGCAGGGGCAGGAGGATGCGCAGTAGGATGAGGAGGTGGAGCGAGGCCACTCTTGCGAGACCGCACGCTCTTGCGAGAACGTGGGCGCGCTCGCGCGACGGGATGGCCGCCCGTCCTGTCGCGACGGGGGCGGGGGGGGGGGTGAGTTGCTCTAGATCTGAGTGGGCCTGAGCGATTCCGAATGTGGATGAGTCTGATTGGGGGTGAGTCTGATTGAGCTCTAGGCTTGCGAAAGGTCGACATTGGTCACATCGTCCTGGGCTTGGCCTTGGATGGATGTCGCCAGGGGCCAAACCCCGCCCGCCACTGCCCGCGGGCGCTCGTGGAGGGGGGCGGTCGCGGGCGGAGATTGCCCCGCGGGCATTTGGAGGGGGGGGGGGGGGGGGGGGGGGGGGTCGCGGGCAGAGTTTGGCCCGTGGATCATTGCGGAGAGGGGGTGCCGCGGGCGAAATTTCACCCGCGATCCGCCCCCCTCCGAAATCATCCGCGAGCCACGCTCCGCCCGCGACCGCCCCCTTTCCGCGCTGGCCGGCGGGCGGTCGCGGGCGAAGTTTGGCCCGCGGGTAATTGCGGAAGGGGGGCCCGCGGGCCAAACTTCGCCCGCGACCCCCCCCCCCTCCGAAATTGCCCGAGGGCGGTCGCGAGCGGCGGGCAATTGCGGAGGGGGTGGCCCGCGAGCGAAGTTTGGCCCGCAGCTAATTGCGGTTAATTGCGGAGGGGGGGGGGAGTGCAATTGCGGAGGGAGGGTCCGCGAGCGAAACTTCGCCCGCGAGCGCGAGCGAAACTTCGCCCGCGAGCCCCCTACAATAGTTGTAGGGGGCACCATCCTCGTGAGGGGTAATTGCGGTGAGCTGATTTCACCGCAGTTCTCCGCAATTAGGCTTTGGCTCGCGGGCGAAGTTTCGCCCGCGGACCCCCCCTCCGCAATTGCCAGGCGCCCCCTCCGCAATTAACCACAATTACGGTCGGGCCGAACTTCGCCCGCGACCCCCCCCCCCCCTCCGCAATTATCCGCTGGTCAAGCTCCGCCCGCGCCCGCCCGCGGGCAATTGCGGAGGGGGGGCGTCGCGGGCGAAGTTTCGCTCGCGGCACCCCCCCTCCGCAATTACCAGCGCGCCAAACTCCGCCCGCCCCCCCCCCCCCCCCTCCGCACTTGCCAGCGAGCCAAGCCCCGCCCGCGACCGCCAGCAGGCCATTGCGGAGGGGGGACGTCGCGGGCGAAGTTTCGCCCGCGGACCCCCCTCCGCAATTATCCGCGAGCCAAGCTTCGCCCGCGATCGCGGGCATTGCGGATGGGGGACGGCGGTCGCGGCCGGAGTTTGATCAGCGCCCACGTGCACACTGCGCCTGCAAGGACTGACCCGCGAAACCGCATTGGACCCTCGCGGGTCTGTCCTGTCGCCGTCTTGGGGCCCTGAGGCGCGCGCGTGCTTCCGTGCCATCGCCCGCGTATAAATAAACGCGGCGACGCAATCTAGCAGTTCCTGGCCCGCGATGCCCCCTTGGGTCGTCGTGGGTCGCCTTGGGCGTATATATTAAAGAACGCTGGGGCGTCCTTGGGCACGCCCAGCAGCCGTCTTGGAGCCCCGAGGTGCGTGCGTCACTGGGCGAGCAACGGGGCCTCGCGCGCCAGGGCTTGCGAGGCGCGCACCTCGAGGCTCCAAGACGGCTCCAGAACAGACCCAATAGCGGCACAGCGTTCCTGGATAGAGGCGCCCAAGGCGGCCCAAGATGACCCGCCCGTCCACCGCGCCTGACGTGGTTGACGTAGGGCCATCGCCCGCCGGTTTTGGTTTGCCCCCCCCCCCCCCCCGAGGCCCCGGACGACGAGGACCTCGGGCCGACGGATTCCTCGGCCGTGCTCAGCGAGGCGCGCCTCGGTGCTATTCGCGCCGCGGCCGTCGAGCCCATCGACGCGATGCTGCAGCAGTGCGTCGCGAACTTGGGGGGGGAGATGTCGCTCGCCTTTCCGAAGGCCATCCGCAGCGTGGCGAATGTCCTGCCAGAGCTGACCATCGGCTCCATGTTCTCGGGCAGCGACGCCATGACCATCGTCACCGCCAAACTATTGTCGGCCTTCAAACAGTTCTATGACATCGATGTGGGCCTCAAGCATTGCTTCTCGGTCGAGAGCAAGTCTGACAAACGGACTTGGATCATGAACGCGATCCGCCCAGATCATTTGTTCGCAGATGCAAACCAGCTGTATCCAGATAAGCATCGGGCGGTTGACATCGCGACTGGCAAAAAGATGAGATTGCCATATTGTGACATCTTCTCGGCGGGGTTCCCGTGCAAAAAGAAATCCCGCAACAACAACTCACGCTCCTTGTGGCGCAATTGCATCCGCGACGGCACGGGCGACACTGGCAAAGGCTACCAGGCGCAGATGCCCCCCCCCCCCCCCTCCCCCCCCCGCCACCAGCACCGCCACCGCCGCCCACATACGGTCGACGATGGTCGAGATGTGGACGGCGAGGAGGGGGATGGTGATTGATATGGGGCGGTGGTTGGATCGGTTCATGCGGGGCCCCGCTGATATTCGTGAAATTCTTTCCAGGCCTCCGGGGCGCGTCTTGGGGGGGGGGGGGGGTGAGCTTCGAGAACCGCCCCGTGTCCCAGTGCGGCCTCAGATGCGCCAACTGGTTCCTGGCGATTTCGGTTTGGACTGCGGGCCTTGTCCCGTTCAGGTGTTTCCCTGGGCTGGTAGGCATGCCGTGCATTGGGCCTTTGAGGCTTTGAGGCGTTCCGAACCCTTTATGTCGGATGTTGCCCAGTCGCGCTCATCATAGCGCAGGCTGCCTTGGCGTACATCAAGCACCGCCGCCCCCAGATCATCATCCTGGAAAACGTGCCCACGCTCGCAGAGGCGTGTTTCCACCAAAGTCCCCGATCACAGGCGCGACGTCCGACCCTGGTGCACCGATGTCGATTCGCCAGGGTTCGACTCGCGTCATTGCTATATTGCGCCCCCCCCCCCCCCTTCCTTCTTCTCGCCAGGGAGAGGACGGCCGCCGGGACGTCGACTACATCGCGCAGACCCTGGAGGAGCAGCAGTACTCCATCTTCTGGGACATCGTGGAGGCGGCGGAGTTCGGCTCGCCGGCGGTTCGAGAGCGCTTGTACGTGATTGGGGTGCACCGCTCCGAGTTTCACGTCATGCACCCTCGTGATGCCGCTGCCCTTGGTTTCGAGACTCGGCGCGTGACAGTTGTACCTTCTCTCGCTGCCACTGGTTTCGCCTCCCGCGTGTTGACCTCGTTCAAGTGTGACTCGTTGTCCGTTCACGATGGCTTTGTGATGATGGACACTGGCGTCCGCAAGCTGTTCATGCACGAGGCTGGTCTTACTGGCTCAGGGAGCGGGAGCGGGCGCGACTTAGATCCAGATGCGGATCCCGAGAAGGTTTGGCAAGACGAGCACTACACGCTCTTTCGTGAGTTCAACCTCGTATACCCCCTCCCGACATCGGAGCTTTCGGACATTGACGAATCGGGGCTTAGCCGTCGGCAGGTGGAGGCGGCGTATTTCTTCGACAAGGTCCCTGGGCCCCTAACGACACGACTCCCCTGCCCGCCCCCTCGCCTCATTCAGATGCCTCGCGGCATAATGCCGCCGATCCCCATAGCACACATGCCGTCTTCGAAGCGGGCGCGCGAGGGTAGCCACGGGGGGTGATGGATGATGGGTAGGCCTTGACAAACTGAACCAGCCCGTCTTCCATGCCCTGGCGGCCATCTTCGGAGACGAGCGTGGAACCAAACCCACCAACCCCGTTCCCCCCGCCCCCCCCCCCCCCCCCTGGGACCCTCCAGGACGCGGAGGGGGAGGAGGGGGATGACGCGGATGGTGTGGAGGCTGAGTAGGAGGAGGATGAGGAGGAGGAGGAGAGTGAGGTGCTCGCCCAACGTGACTCATCGCTGCCATCGCCAGCCCCATACGCCATGCCGGCGGGTGCCGTTTAGTGCCCGCATGCATGGCGTTGTGGCGCGCGGCTGGGGCAGCGTTGATTCGTGTTCTGATTTCCTGGCGCTTCATATTCCAGCAGGTATATCCCTCGGATGCCCCCGTGATAGCTGGGCGCCAGACCGATTTTTACGATTCGGCGCACTCCATGGGGCGACTTCTGGGACAGAAGGTTACGCGCCGCGATACGGACCGGCGCTTCAAAAACCCGTGGCATTTCAGAGTGCCCACCCTCATCGAACACTCGCGAATCATTATGCGGGTGGTCTTCCATGAACCCAGCGGGCCCGTTCGGCGCTCGCTCCGGGCGCTCGACGGCTTCGAGCTCATGCAGGTCGCTGGTTGGGACTTGCGGCGCAGGGGCATGTCCGACCCTGCCCCCTACAGCGACGCCTTGCTGACTTCGTTGGCGGGCAACGTGTTCAGCCCGTTCGCCGCCGCGCCGGTCCTGTTGGCAGCGTTCGCGTTCATGGGCCACCAGCTGGTCGACTCGAAGTGGCCCAACGATGACGAGGCTGAGGTCGAGGCCGGTGCGCCTGCCGATGCGGCCGATCTGTGAGAACGGCCAACTAGGGCTTTCGATGAGGAGGCCGCACGGTCGGGGAAGGAGGAGGACGAGGACTAGGATGATGAATGGGGTTGCGTCGAGGGGTCCCACTTGTGTCGAAGAGCGTCTCGTGGGCACATGGACACGCTCCTCGTGGACAGGGGCTCGATCGCGTCATTGCTCATTTGGTCTGACCGCGACCGGGAGGGATTCAGGTTGGAGCTATCGGTTCCAAACTCGGAGGGGACATGTTTAGAGTCTGCGCCGCTCTAGGTTTCTCAAACGTGTTCCCTCTCCGTTTTTTTCGGCCCTGTCCGGGGAACCCTCGTCGTCATCGTCGACGTCGTCGTCGTCGAAACCGATGCCACGATAACACGATAGCCGAAACAGGGGCATGTGGAACCGCGATCGCACGATAGCACGATATCACGATATCGGTTTAGCGTGGTGCTTCTCGCGCTGGTCTTGGGGTGGATACCGGTGATGTGTCTGCGTGGTTTTGTGGATCGGGTGTCGCCTGTGGCATATCCACATGCGTGCTTCTCGTGCGGGTAATTCTAGTGGTGAGTTGGCGCTGTTTCTTGAGATGATTCCAGCGGTGTTTCTCGAGCTGCTTCCCCGAGTAATTCCTGCGGTGCTTCTCGCGGTTTTTCGTCGGTTAATTCCAGTGGCGCCATTTTTCTCATCCTTCTCTTCCTCCTCCTCCTCCTCTTCCTCCTCCTCCTTCTTCCCCTCCTGCTCCCCGTCTTCCTCCTCCTCCTCCTTCTCCGTTTCTTTCTTCCGTTCTTCCTCCTTCTTCCCGCCCATCTCCTCTACTCCGCCTGCGAGCAGCCCGTCCGTCGCGGACGGTTTGTCCCCAAGCCCGTCACGGACGGTTTGCTCCCAAGCAAACCGTCCGTGACGGACGGGCTGCTTCCAATTGCTTGTCTTCTCGACGCTTGCCGCTCGCAGGGGGGGTGCAGAGGTCTAACGAGAGGGGGGCTCGCTGCCTCGTTGGATCGGGGCTGGACACCAGTGCTCGCCACGCTGGAGCGAGGTGGAGCGCTGCGCAATCACATGGTATGAATTGTTGATGGTATTGTGAACTGCGGTTGGACATGTGTTAAACGGTTTTGTTATGGTTCGAAGTTCTTGATGCGGTTTATGGTTTGTATGTTTTTTTTTTCTGATATTCGGGTTTCGTGAATGCTGGGAAGTTGGAGATTTGGGCGGAAGGCGCCCTTGGACCATGTTTGTGGAATGTTGGCGGTGCTCGCAGTGCGCTTACAGGCACTGCCCTTTGAGCGTTGCTAAAATACCGCGGTGTTTCAGCCTTGGTTCTAGTGTTACTGCGTCTTAGGGCGGCAACCAGTACACTTAAATACCTTGGGCATGTGTCCCCCCCCCCCCCTCCCCCCTTCCCCCCCCTCCCCCAGTCTTGGATTTTCGCGACGATATGTGCTCCAACGTGTTCCGCGGGTGCATAAATAACATGATTTCATACATTAAACGCAGGATTACGCCATGTGTAATTTTGCGTCCGACACGGCCAGACTTGCACACCCTGTTTTTTTGTAGAAAACAATGGGTTTTACGCATGCGAAACACATCCCGTCAGTCGCGCCGCGATGTCGTTCCGAAAAACAGCGGTGCTTCGCGCGCTGCTTCTTGGGGGTTGACTCGGTGGTTGTTCTCAGGCTGCTCTTGGAGCGACTTCCATTCGTTTTTTTTCGTGGCTTTCTGGATCAGGCGTGTCCGGCTACATTTTCACTGATGCTTCTCGCGCGGGCCATTCCAGTGGCGTTTTGGCGCAGCTTCTTGCGGTCGCGCTTCTCCTGGGGTGAATTCCATCGGTGCGTCTGCGTGTTTTTTTATTATATGTCATGTCTGGCGGTCCATATGGGCTAGACGGATCGCGAAGTTTGCGACGATGATAACGCGGAATAGAAGGACCACGAGGAGGAGGCACGCCAGGGGCGGAGGAGGACGAGGAGGTGGAGGCGGAGGATGAGGTGGAGGAGGAGGGACCATGGCGGCCGTGCGGCCCGAAGAGGTTCCGTAGACGCACGAACCGCACGGTGCCCGTCCCTCGCATGCGACGAGGAGAGGATGAGGATGAGTGTTTCTCCTCGTATTCCTCCTGGTCCTCTTCCTGTTTGTTCCTCCTTCCTCCCCCCCCTCTTCCCGTCCCCCTCCTCATCCGTTGGCGGCGCAGGGTGCGTTGCATCGATGCTTCTCTTTCTTGGTGGCGCAGCATTGCGCGGCTTCGCAATGCATTTTATCGAACCCGCGCGGAGATGAGGGACGTCTCTGCGCAGGCCGATTGGTTCTTTCGCGCCCACTAGGAAACGTGGCGTCTGATCGAGCCCCGCGATTAATCCTGGCATCTCGCTGCGATCTGGGTCAGAGAGCACCCATCTCCAGGGGGCGCCCGAACGGTTCACTGTTTGGCGTGGGTCGCCCCAGCCCCTCCTCGTTCTTCTCCTCTCCTCCTGGCCCCTCTCCTCCTCATCCTCCTCCTCCACCTCTGCTCCCCTGTCGTGCTTCTCCTCCTCCGCCGCCTCCACCCTTCTCCTGGCGTGAACGACTCAGGCCCCTCCTCTGCCTGGCTCTTTTCACCTCGTGACTCGTGGTGCGAGTCGTTCGGGCCCCCCTCGTCCTGGCGTCAGTCGTTCGGGCCCCTTCTTGGCGTGAGTCGACCATGGGCATGGGGTCCTGGGGCCTGTCTAGATCGCCGACCAGCTCCTCGCAGGGCGCTGCTCCATGATTTGATTCGGGCCGACATCAAACGCGAATCCCCGTCCGTCGTTTTCGCGAATGGTCGTCGTCGGGCATGTCCGACATCATCGTCGACGACATTGCTTGCGTCATCGCCGTCGGTCGCGTCTGGTAGCGCGGTCGTCGTTCTCGTCGCCCACGTCGTCGTCGGCGTCGTCGGTGCCGCTGTCGACGTTTACTGGGCTTGATCCAAGTCCACAGCTTGTCTGATCCGTCGCAGGCGTTGGCGTCGTCGTCGCAGTGACGTCAGCGGTGCGTAGCTGGTTTTGGCCGATTCAGGTCAGCTGTCTTGTTCGGGAGCGGAACAGATGGGGGGTGATGACTGGGGGGGGGGTGGATTTCCTGGCGCGGGCCATGATATTTCCCCAAATTTCATGGCGCCCCTGCTTATTTCATTACGTCCCTGGCCCCTCCACTGGGCCGCGCACATGCCGCCGGTCACGATTTGCACCCCCCCCCCTCTTGGACCCCCCCCCTCTTGGCCGCTCCCGACTTGTCTGCGCCCTCTCACCCCCGCCGCATCACTTCACCATGGGGAAGCGGCCCGCGTCTGCGCACCTCCTTGCAGGGGATGCTGCAGCACGGGCTGCCGCTAAGCAGAGGATGGACAGCGATTTAGAGAGCGACGAGCCGCCTTCCATTGGTCATCCGAGGGCCCCCGCGCCACGGCGCCAGTATGCGACCAATCTTAAGAAGGGCGCGCACGAGCGCCTGGGCGGCGTTCCTGACGGGCGCACCTGCGCTTGCTGCGGCTGTCTCGACACCCAGCAGGACCCAGTCGATGAGTTTTTCGAGATTGCGCAAGAGATGTCGTGGGGGAGACCGGCCAGGGCCGACGGCAAACAGGAAGGGTCTGGATGTTTCTATTGCTTCTCGATCTTCAGGGCGAGATATAAAGTGAAAGGCTTGAGTTTTGGGGACATGCCAGAGTTCCTCGGCAGGGGCGCGTCCAACTTTACCAAGTTCTTGGACATGCGCAAGGCCTTGATCGCCTTCCTGAAAGAGAAGGGGGGTCGAGTCAACCGCGTTGCCTGGCACGACATCGATCGGAGGTCGATTTCCGTCGTGTCTACCTCGGAGACTGCCATCCATGAAGCAGACGATTTGCTGTACGACTACGATTGGTATGTTGCCGAGAAAGGCGACCCAGAGACGAATGGATTGGGCCACAGCATCACCTACGAATTCGGCAAGAAGGAAGTCCGCGTCCCCAGTGCGCCGATCAGACGGGTGACCCGGCAGCAGAAGAAGAGCGTTGAGCACAGACGGGTCGTGCACGACGGCAACGACGAGGACCATATCTACGACGACCAAGCCGACGATATTCTTAGAGAGTTGTCTTCGATCATCGCGCTTCCGCGCGCGACAGGGACCTTCGAGCGGAGCAACGCGGCCAGCAGCAACGGCAGCAGCAGCATCGGCCAGCTGAGGCAAGCTGCGCATCCCGCAGCTGGCCCCTCGTGCACATCAGACGCTGCTGGCTCGGCTGGGGGTCTGAGTCTCGGCTTCGCTCGCGCGAAGGCTGCGTCGACGGCCCCGGCAGCCTCAGCCGCGGCGGCAGGCGGCGCCACCAAGAACGCTGGTGCCAACAAGCCCCGTGGCCGGAGGAACGGGAAGGCCGCGGCGCCGATCAGTGGCGGAGGTTCTGGCGGAGCTACTGGCGGATCTACTGGCGGAGCTCCTGACGCAGGTGGCGCCCCGCGGCCAGGTCCGAGGCGTCGGGATATATGTGCCACGGCTAGGGCCATCGTCACCGAGTTCAGTCAGGCGCCACTCGAAGACGAGCAGTATTTTGGGAAGATGTGGAAGAACCACACTCGCTATTGCAAACGGGTTGAAGACGATCTTGATCGCAGGCTCGCTGCTTTGGACGCTGATGGGGAGATGGATGATGCGCTGCGCGATGAGCTCGCCGCCGCACAGGCATGCAAGAAGCAGATAGCCGTCGTGCGCGCCATATGCTCGCAGATCGCAAGTGGTGGGCTCGACAGCGCCAAGTTCGCCGAGGTGTTCGATGCGCAGGTTGCTTTCCTCCGCCTCCGGCCCGAGGTCGACGACATCATTCCGCGTCACTTGAAGCGGGCGCGTTTCTGCATCCGAGTAGCTGCCGCCGCGGACCCGGACACGTTCTGGTCCCTCGTGGCGCCTGACACCCTTGTCCAGAAGGGGCACTACCTTGAGGATTCAGCGCAGACAAAGGCAGGCGAGCTCATCTCCGAGCGCATCATGAAGATCTGCATGGCGACGAACGCAGAGGCAACGTTGCAGACCTATTTCCCAACAGATTTCGAGAAGTTCAAGTTCACCGAGCGATTCGCAGCCTTCACTGATGACTTGGCAGCTCTGTGCACAGTGGTCAACTTCGCCGACGCGGAGTGCTGCGACGCCCCAGAGAGATTCACCTTGCAGTTGTTGAAGCACGGTGAGCCCCCTGTCGACCGCACCGTCATCATTGCACCCGTGATTTCGACTGTCAACATCACTCGCTTGACCGAGGCCCGTGACCTGATCGCGTCGCAGAAGACCATATCTTCTACTCTTGGCGATTCGTCTGCTGGAAAACGGGTCCTCAAGGAAGCTGCACATGCAGTTCGGAAGCTCACCAAGTGCGCGGCGCACGCCGAGCAGCTGTCCGTAGTCTTCGAGCGCATCGCTTTCTGCCTGGAGTCGGCGCATGGCCTCCTCGCCATGCCTCGACTTACACCGATCACGGACGTCGGCTTGGGCGATCTGCAGGGTCTGGCCTTGGAGCTCGACATCATCTTCACAGAGGTGGCGGATCGGTCTGGTCTCTGGTCGCACCCAGCGTTGACCGATCGGGCAATGGTGCAATGTCGCATAGATGCTGGCCCTCCGCGGCACTGAGCATTGATGCGACCGTCGGCGCCATTGCTCGCAATCGGTCGTTTCACGCTGGCGCGCGCCGGGCGCCACAGGTGGGGGACTGCGTCGGGGCCAAGAAGGTGTTCGAGATGACGGTCCGTTCGAAGTCCACCGCTTGTTTCGCCATGCTCGACCAGCTCGCGCGCGTGGCGTTCGAGCCCATCTGTCGTCGGGTTCTGGTCAACGACTCCTCTGATTTTACCTCGGTGATTGACCAGTGGGCTTCTAAGGCCTGGCCCGCGCTGAGCGACATGTGGTATCGCATCGGGCAGAGTGATGCGACGCGTCGGTGGTTCATGGAGTTTGCAGGTGATGCCACCATGCTCGACCTTGTGGACACCGCTGCCTCGTTTTGCACTGATGTGCTGGCTGCGTTCGATACCATGATGAGTGACAGTATCTCAGAGGACGTGGCCGTTACCTTGCGCGGTTCGATCACTTTGATTCGCAAACGTGCCGTTTCCATCAAGGAGGGCATGCCGTCCCTCGCATCTGACATCGACACCTTCCTTGCCTCGTCCAAGTTGTTTGATGACGCCGCGGTGGGCGGCATGGTGTCCGCCGCGATCGCTTCCAAGGCGGGCGGCGGGAGCAATGATGCCTTCGCCCAGTTTGCGCGGACCCCCTTTGGCCACCAAGTTTCATGAGGTTATCCATGTTTAGGTGGAGCCCTCGGTCCGTTGGTTTTCTCCCAGGGCGACGACGGCTCATCGCCCGTCTGCCGAGCGAAGTCGAGCCGAAGGGGCGTCCGCGCGGGGGGGGGCGCATCGATGCGACCGCCGCCCCAAGATGACGCAGAAGTTCAGATCTGCGAACGCGGCCATCGACTCTGGCATCATCGACGTGGTCGTGAGCGCTGATATGGGCCAGGCCGCCATGGATCAGGTCCTGAACTTCCGCCTCGCCACTGACGAGGAGGTAGTTGCAATGCTTGACTTTGCGGATCTTGCACAGGACCCTGTTCTCAAGTTGGAAATCTCGTACATCCAGGCGTGGGCCTCCTTCCGCGCGGCAGCGGCGCGGGTCCTCTCCCACTTGGCGCAGGACGAACTCGTGGACAAGGATTGCTTCACTGCCCTGTCCAGCCTGCACGCGGAGCAGTCCGCGTTCCAGACGTTCATCGAGGACGGGCACGCGGACAAGCTGTTCGTCTACGATGCGAGCAGGAGCGCTTTCGCCTTCGCGTCTGCGAAGTTCGGCGAGATGCCCGCCGCAGCTTCGACTGAACTACAGAGGTGCGGCGCCGACGTCGTCTCTCGTGCAGCTGCGGTGTACACGAACATCGTGACGTCAGAGGTCGAGGGCCTGATCCAGTGGTGCGGTGACGACTGGCGACCGCATCGCGGGGCCCTTCTCAACGACACCAAACGCATCCTCGGCATGGTGAACAACCCTCACTACAAGAATCTCGGCGCCCGGGCAAGCACGCTCACCGAGACAGTGAAGGGCATCCGGTCGGTGAACGCCACGCTCGGCAAGTTCGGGCCCATTGTCGAGGAGTCGACCTTGGTCGAGGCGGGCCGAACCACCACGTACGCCGTCCACACCGTGGTCATGACTCGCGCGTTGTTCGGGATGCGGGTAGAACTCAGACGCCTCCCCGCGCCCAAGCAGAGGGACATGGCCGACAACCTTCTGTCGCTTGTCCGGGAGAAGAAGGTTGATCCTGGCTCGGACGTGCGCGAGGCCTTCGTCAAGCACCTCGGCGGCGACGCCGCGCCTGCGCAGGAGGCCGCTGGCGCCGAGCGAGCTGCTGCGGAGCCGACGGGGGCGGCGGCCGCCGCGGAGGGCGCTGCTGCGGGCGAGGAGGGCCAGCCCGCCGCCGCAGCCCCCGCGACGCCCGCTGCCCCTGGCCGCGCCGCTGGCGGGCCCCGCAAGCGGCGCAAGGCCCGAGGGTTGCAATCCACTCCATCCTTCCCCAGCGTGGCGCTCCCCCTGGTCCTTCAGATACTCCTCCTCTTTCTCCTTCTCCTCCTTCTCCTCCTCCTCCTCCTCCTCTTCCTCCTCCTTTCTTCCTCCTTTCTCCCTCCGGCCCTCCTCTACAGGTTCTCCCTCCCTTTCGGGGCCCAGGATTTTTTTTTTCGGATGGGGCCCGAGACGGCCCCAAACGGCCCACGCAGCGAGGGGCTGCCGCCCTTTCCTCTGCAGCTCTCCCGATCACCCCATTGGGGCCCTCTTGAAAAACTCCAGGGCCGTCTTGGGAGTCCTTGGGGCCTCATTTGGACCCCCCGCCCCCCCGCCCCCCCCCCCCTGGCGGCCTTCGGAGGCCCCGGGCGAAGGCCGGCAGCGATAGGGGGCCTGTTTCTCGCGGACGCTCACGCACGCGTCCGCGTCGCCGAGGGCGTTCGCGGTTGACCGCCGTTGACGCCCTTCAATCGATGACTTGACCCGTGAGAAACCAGCGTGCCCGCCAGCTTTCGAACCAGGCGGCCCCTCCTGACTTCAGCGGCGGCAAGGCACCGAAGCGGCGTCGCAGGAAGGCCGCTGCGGGCGATGCTGAGCAGGGGGCCAGTGAAGCCGCCGGAGCTGCTGCTAGCAGCAGTAGCAGCAACGGCAGCAGCAGCAGCAGCGACTAGGATAGGTGGCTAGGTGCAGCGCGCTGGCGAGGGCACATTCGCCAGCCGCAGGTCGGGGATGGCTCGGGGGCTCGGGGGTTACCAACCGCGGGCGCAACGATAATCGCGCCTCGTGCGTCGCGGTCTGCGGCGTAGAGCCAGCGCGCGCCTGGGCCCTGGGAGGGAGGATGAGATGGATGGCGGGTTGAGGGGGGAGGGGGCGAGGTCATGTGGGGTGACGGCTTCGATTAGGATGACGAGGTAGATCAGTGATTTGGGAACGGATGACGTGCTCACCGCTCTGTGCATGCTTGATTGTGAAGTTTGTTTCGTGGGCACTCGCTGGTCTGCGACTCGGGGCGTCGTGCAGACCACAGCTCCAGCTCTGCCCAGAAGTGAGTTCGTGGCGCGTGGGCGCCGGCGATGTGAAACTTCGGATTCTCCTCCGCCATATCGGAGCGTTATCGCTGCTGCTGTCAGTTTCGCATTGTCACAGCCCTTCCACTCCTGGGGCGGATCGCACTTGGTTGGTCGCCGTGTTCGCGTTCATGAGTGGATGTTGGTTGGCACGTGCTTGCCCCTAGCTTGCCCCCTAGCTTGCCCCCTAGCTTGCCCCCTAGCTTGCCCCATCCGCCCTTCCTATATGTCCCCTCCAGCCGTCGCCGCTGCTGTCGTCATCTCCCTCCTCATTCGATTTGGAGGGCTGACGCCGTGTCCGCGACCCTGGCAGTTGTTGGGCTGCCCACGACGTTTGAATCAATTCGCCAGTTGATAGCTTGGCGCAGCGGCATGGTGCGCTCATGCTGGTTGGCTGGTTGGTTGTTTGAATGTGCGCCAGCTTGGCTCAATAGTTGGATGGTCGGTGGATTGGTGGATTGTCTGAAACGGGATCGCCATGTGCGCCTGAGTGCTGTCTCTGGCGAGCCGACGGGTCGTGTTATGGTTGTTGCGAAGGCCGGCTCGCATTTCGGTGTATATTTTCTGCTCCGCGTGCTTGGTCAACTGCGGCAGAGGGCCGGGGCTGTTCATTTTAATTGTGGAATTGCGGAGGGGGGGTGGTTGGTAATAGCGCCGAGCCATCACGGTGTAACACATCCGCCCCTCCCAAGGAATTGATCTTGTGCTCATTCATTGGCCATGCCCTTTTATCCCGAAAGACGAGGTCGGCGCAATTGAGTACTACTCAGATGTGCGTAGAAAAACTTGGGAAGCCCTCGAGAAGCTGCAGCAGGATGGCGTCGTAAAACAAATCGGTGTCTCCAATTTTGGCGAACGGCACTTGAAAGAGCTGCTTGCGTATGCCAAGGTCAAGCCAGCAGTAGACCAGGTTGAGGTGCATCCTTACAACCAACGGGTACGCCTTGAGGAGTTCGTCAAAACTGAGGGGATCCGATTCGAAGCATACAGTCCACTTGGAAAGAGCAGGATAGGACTGCTCGAAGACCCTGTATTGACGAGAATAGCTGAGACAAAAGGAAAATCAGTCGCACAAGTCATCCTCCGCTGGCTCTTGCAACGAGATATCACGCCCATTCCCCTGTCGCGCAACGAGAAGCGCATCAAGGAAAACCTCGATGTGACCGATTTCGCTCTCACAGATGATGAGATGCGTGATATTGCTAAGCTTGATCGCGGCCAGTTTGTAATCATGGATGACGAGGAGTTGGCGTGATCTCGCCCGCGGGGTGCTTGATCTCCATGCGCATGCGGCACGTTTCACCACCATGTCAGCGCAACACTTCGTGGCAGCCCTATCACAATCGGGCGGCGGGCCGGCATGTGTGACAGATCTCAGCCTCCGACTCTGGAGGATTGTGACATGTGAGGTTCGAAGAGCCTTTTAAATCTATGATGCTTACCTCCTCCGGAGCCCAGAGAGCCACGACATGGTACACCTCTCTCTCCCTCGATCCCAGAGGGGCCGTAGCAAGTGACAGTTCGCTCTCCTTGCGAAGAAATGGCCGTAGCATGCGACGTGTGATTAAGACATCGCCCGAACGTGCGGCATCGAGGAGGCTGGGGCTTCCAGGAGCCCCCTCGACGGGCCCCAGGAAGTTGCTTTGGGCCTTTTTAGAAAATTGCTGGGGTCTTGGGGATATGTGGGAGGGTCTTTCGGCCGTCCAAAATGTCTTGTGGCAGATTAAAGGTCGTGAGACCATGTAGGGCGGGTCTTTGCGCTGTACCGGGTCGGCCTTTGGCCTTCCTGGAGTTATACGATGGGGGGTTGGGGACCGTCCTTGGGCTGGTTTGTTGCGCCGTGTTGGGACCATAAGTGTGGCGTTTCGCTGCTTCTTGAGACGAAATTCGGTTAAAGCAGAAAGAACTGAATTATCAACGTGATTCAGTATCCAGCTGCCTGCGGCAATTCCGGCTTGTGCTTTCATGGGCCCTTTTAGGCCGTCCTGAGATCCATTCTGGGGTTGTCCTGGGCTTGCTGGGGAGCTTCCGGAAACCCTCATTGCGCTCTTTTGGTGTTTCGTCCTCTCATCCGGGGCTCTGCTTGCACCGTCTTGAGCCGAGACAGCCAGGACACGCAACGGATTCTGACCCTGATGATGCCCTGGGGTGTTTGAATGAGTTTGACTGGCATGGAGGGCTTTTTTTGGCCTTCAATCCTATGTTTCGGAAGTCTTTTGGGTGCCTCTTGGAATTTCCTAATCCTATGTTTCGGAAGTCTTTTTGGTGCCTCTTGGAATTTCCTTGGGGGGGCGCTTCTTGAGGCGATGCTGGTCCATGTGAGTTGCCTTGATGCCCGTCCTGGGCCGATCTGGAAGCTCTGGAGAGCGCCAGTGACCAGTCCGGTCGCCCCGGGAGTCTCGAGAGAGGAGGGCGATGCTGCGACAGGTGTGTCGAGAGGGAAGGCGGTCTAGAAGAGGCTTCCTGGGGGTTGAGGCGGTCTATCGGGCGAAGAGAACTATGCACATGCACCGGTCCTGGCAAGGCCCATTTTTGACCCAGGATCGGTGCATATGCCTTCCTGGCCAAGGTAGGAGGGCGTATGCACCGATCCTGGGCTCAGGATGGGCCTGGCCAGAATCGGTGCATGTGCATAGTTCTTTTTCCTCTAGTCTAGAAGAAGCTTCCTGGGGGTTTGAGGCGCTCTGGAGCCATCCTGGCGGCCCTGATGGCCCTCCTGGGCCGTCTGGGCAGCAATCTCAGGCATCTGGCAGAGGCAGCGTTGGAGAGACTGCCTGGAAGGCGTCGGGGCGCCCGCGGAGATTTGGGGAGAAGGGGGCGCACACACTTTGTTGGGGTCAGCGGCCACTCGGACCTGCGCAGCGGTCGAGCGACGGAGGGACGCCTCCGCGGCGAATTTTGGGCGCCGGGACGCCGGCGCGGCCGGTGGGGGGAGGGGAGGGCGCCGCGGGCGGCAGAGCTCGCTCGAGGCACGAAGCCCGTGAGCGCGTGTGCCAGAGGGGCCGGCGGCCCGGGAGCGGCGAAGGCACACCACGGGGGGAGCACACAGATGGCGGCTGGCAGCAGGGAGGCGGCGCAGAGAGCTCCAGAATCCCAGCCAGAGCAGCCCAGGAGTGGCACCACGCCATTCAGCGCCAGGGGTCGCACCGGCGTACCTCAGCCACACGTGCCAGATTATTAGGGCCACAGAGCGGCCGCACGGCGTGCCCTTCAGATAGAAAACCAGCGCGCCAATGAATCATGCCTCGGCGACACTGGGGCCTCTTGGGGGCCTCCTGGGGCGTCATGGGCGCCTCCTGGAAGGCCCCTGCTGGGGGTTCCTTGGAGCCTCCCTCCGGGGAGCCTCTTGGGGGCCTCTTCGGGAGTGTTGATCTTTTAGGCTCTTGGGCCCTCATGGGGGCTTCGTGGGGCAGAGCAAATCCACCAAATGTTTGTTCGTGTTCGCCATCTGGTTCTCCTGTTGGTGCCCTCTTGGGCCGTCTTGGGGGCCCCTTGGGCCCTCTTGGGCTCTCTAGGGGTCCCCCGGGCCATCCCGGAGCGATCTTGGGGGGCCTCGCGGGTCTTCTTAGAGCGTCGGAAGCTCGAAAAGGCGAGGACGCCAAACTCCTTCAAACAGCTAACGGAATTAGCGAATTTCGCCTCTAGGGGCCCTCCTGGGGGTCCCCTTGAAGCCTCTTGGGGAGCATTGGGGGCTTCATGAAGCGTCTTGGTCCGTCTGGGGCTCATCTTGGGACAGTTGGGCTCGTCTCGGGGCCTTCTTGGAACCATCCTGAGCCACATAGGGCCGCCAATGATCCTCCAAAGGCTGTGGGGGGCCGCCGTGACTCAAGCCTTCTTCAAGCCTTCGCTATAGTCTACTGTGGCTATAGCAAGCATTCCAGTCAGCCTATCCTGTCTCAAGCCTTCCAGTCTTTTTGACAGCGCAAAACTCTTCGAAGTTTATACGGCCAGGGCGGGCCCGCAGGGGGCCAGCCGTACGGTGGGGGCGTTCGTTAAGGAATGTGTCCAGGAGGCAGACATTTCTGAGAATTCCTTATCTGATGAGTGCGGCGGAAACGTCCATGGCCAGGACTCAGTCGACGTTCCACCAGCTTGCAGAACCTGGATTCCTTCTCGAAGGGTTCTGTATCCAATGCCCTCACCGTATTGAGCCCGCAGAGCGGGAGCCGGGGCGGGGCCCCCCCAGAGAGAGAGAAACTCGCACGCAGATTCCGCAATCGGTGGGCCTTCGAGGCGTGGCTTCGACGCGGGCCGGCACCGCTCGTGGCAGTGTTTGTTGAGGGCCGATGTGGCCTCCCTTGGGGAGGGGGGCAGGCGGCCGGAGGAGCCAGCAGACCACCCCATTTCGGGGGCCCTCGGGCCGCGAAGTGCGCGAGGGGCGTGCCCCGAGCCG